TTAGAAAAATCGGGAATATACGCAGTGCAACTGGAAAATCCAATAACGGGGACAATTGAGAAGTATATAGGGGCAACGACAAGAATGCTCGCTTGCCGTATCGCGGAACATCAAGATGATATAAACAAAGGAAGACAGACCACAGAGCTCGCCAGAAAAGTTCTACAGCAGGGCTATAACCCGTTATGGTCAAAAACAGCGTTGCTCAGGAGCTGTAACAACAGAAGAATTACATTTATTTGGGAAGCGCTCCTTACAATGACCACAGACGCATGCAACGTCCCCACACTCGACTTGCCCGAAATATGGGTTACTTTATACCAGCGTTTAAATAGCAAAAAGCGCCAAGAGTCGCACAATTAGTACGATCGCTCCTCAACGCATGCGCTGCTAGTCGTGTGGATTTAAAATATTTCGAACTCCAGCAAAAGCTTGTTGCACGTGACCAACGGAATTACCGAACGCTATAATTTAGAAATTGACAAGAAAAATTTTCCGTTTTCTACTTGGAACATTCTGCACGTTCTAATTCAAATTTTGTTCTTTTTTCGCCTGAAGACGACGATATAATACTCGTCGAAAGTACTTGCGATACAAGAAAAATCGTATTAACGCTGAACTCAGTGCTTTTTATCAAGAAGGCTATACAATTTTGGCGTGAGTTTTATTTATTTATCTATTTCTAGATTATTCCCAAAAAATTCTACATGTTTGGAAATGTTGAGTGGAATTAGTCTAGAATCGGTTAATTTTATAGAAGAAAACCTTTCAGACAGCCTTAGTCTGTAAACTTCACACCTATCGGGATGTGATTGGCTCATGTATTTAATCATTCCTACAACATAAAATTCGATTAACGTGGAACGTATCTAAGCGTTATAGGGGGGTCTACTGTATACAATCCATGACCCACGTGTAGAAATGTTCCGGCATAACAAGTTGCTCTCATTTGAATTGGTGTAATTGATTGTGCAAAGCTGTCTCAAGAGTGGAGGCCATAGTGCATGAATGTTTCAAATTTATATATGTATATATAGATCATAACACTGATGTGAGTTTATCATGTACGTGAATTGGTGAGTTCCGGTTGCTGATTGTATTTTCATGGTCTTATATATATGCAGCCACCACATTCTCTTATTGTTAGGTTAAACGATCTTTGTGTCTTTGCTACATTGGTCTGGTATTTTGTTAAGTCCTCATTATTACCCATCTTACACACACTGTATTTCCAGGTATACTAGAGTGACTGCAGTATCAATCCCAAGTGAAACAAGGCCCTACAGTACTAATATTTTTAAGAAGTGCATTCTTGAAATTGAGATTTATATTTTTCTATTAGTTTATTCAATGTTGTATGTATTATTGTTAATTTATATAAGTGATTAGGAGATTCTACAAATTACTTTTTATTATAATTTGTAATAATTTCTTATGAATCACATGTAATGACATCTTTTCTTAGTTGTAAGTAAATGTTTAAGAAACGATGTCATTATATATAACTCATAATAAATTATAATAAACTATAAAAAAATAATTTATTCTTTATAAAATAATGGAGTACAGTTTATTTTGGCAAAGACTATTTTTCAGAAAGAATTTATTTACTAAATACGTAATTTATACTGCTGGCCAAGTGAAATGCAACACCATGTAGGCCTCTAGATATTGCAGGTGTTGCATTTTACTTGGCCAGCAGTGTATTATGTTGAATATTCTCTTCCAAAAGCGATTAAAACAAATTTAGTGAGTATCTCAACTTAAAATATTTATAATAAACAATTATAATTTACCTAGAACTACTACTTCAACTTCAGCCTCATCTTTTCCCACTTCATTTTCTGCAATAATTTTATATAAGCCTGTATGTTTTCTTTGAGCATCTTGAATAGTAANAACTTACAATTGTATTAAGTACTATAATTTATTTATTATTTATATATTTTACAAATATAAATTATAATATATATTAACCAGTATAATAGCATTAATAAATATTTAAAATCATTAATGTCTTCTTAACAAGTTGTAAAAAATGAAAGTACTTACAGAATTTTGGTTTGGCTAAATGAGGAGATGTCGGTTCACTTGGTTCACCAGCACCAGCTTTATTTAATGCTCTCACACGGAATTCATATTTATCACCTTCATTCAATCCTTTTACTTTTCCCTGAGGAATATTTCCATGAATTTCAGCTGCTGGAGTCCATTCATTGCTATATTTATCTCTCTTTTCAATAATATAACCATTGATTGGTGCTCCACCATCTCTGATCGGTGGATCCCATTTGAGTTGGACAAAATCAGTATCATAGTCAGTGACTTCAGGTAATCCAGGAGGTCCAGGCTCATCTAATAAAAGAAGTAATTACTAAGTTAGCAAGAAAACTTTCCATGTTTCACAATATTGAAATTTTTATTTATTTAAAACTTATTATAATTTTTCATTATTTAATTTTAACATTTTAATTAATAATAATTTTAATTACCATATGGATTTTTGGCTAATGTTGCTTTTTCTGTTTCTAAAGGTTCTGAATCTCCTTCCTCATTAAGTGCTTTTACACGGAATTGATATTTCTTTCCAGGTTCTAATCCAGTAACTGTCATTTCTGGTTTATTTGGATCAGCTTTACCAACAGGAACCCAACGACCAGTACTAGGATCTAATTTTTCAACTTGGTAACCACTAATTGGTAATCCTCCATCATCTTTTGGTTTATTCCAAGCTAATTTACAACCATTTGCATGTACATCACTAACTTCTAAAGGTCCTTCAGGCCTAGAAGGTTTATCTGCAAAAAACCACATTTCCATTTATTTTAATTATTTAAACTTTTTAAAGATATTTTTCAGATGCTAGTTGTAATGATTAATTTCTTTATGTAAAAAATTTTACCAAGAACAACTATTTCTACAGTTTCTTCATCTTTTCCTGAACTATTCACAGCTGTTATTTTATATTTTCCAGAATGTTTTCTTGTAGCATTTACTATGCGTAGATGAGATAAATAATCCTCATTTTCAACTTTGACTGCTCCAGTTCCATCAATTGGTTTATTCGCAAATGACCAGGTTACTGTAGGTGGTGGTTCTCCGATAATTTCTACATCAAGTTTTGGTGATTGTCCAGCTCTGACCGTAATTGTTTCCAAATTGTCTCTGACAATTTTTGGTGCCACTAAAATGAAATTTTTAGATTTTAGTTAGATTATTATTAAATTGAATTTAAAATTTTGCATAAGAAAAAACATAAACTTACAGTATCTTTCTTTAACAATATGTGACTTAGTTGGTTCACTTGGTTCACCTGGACCTGCTTTATTCACAGCTCGAACTCTAAACTGATATTGTTGGCCTTTAGTCAAATCAGAAAGTGTGCATTCTGGCTTGGGACTATTAGTATTTAAGCATGGTTCCCAACTAGCACCAAATCGTTCTTTCTTCTCTATGATATAGCCTGTAATGGGTGCACCTCCATCTTTCTTTGGTGGCTCCCATTTAAGATCAACTTTCTTTTCATCCCAATCTACAATTTCTGGTAAACTTGGTGGTCCTGGTTCATCTAGTAATTAGAAAAATATGTATTAGTAAAAAATTTTATAGGAAAAAGTTATTTTAATATTAATTATATATACCATATGGATTCTTGGCTAAGGTAGCTCTATCAGTTGTTAATGGTTCTGATTCGCCTTCAGGATTTACTGCTTTAACACGGAATTGATATTCTTTACCAGGTGTTAATCCAGTAACATCATATTCAGGTTTATCACTATCAGTACGTCCTACAGGTACCCAATTTCCTGTAGAAGTATCCAGTTTTTCAACAACATAATGGCTAATTGGTTTTCCTCCATCATCTTCAGGTTTCTTCCATTTTAGTTTGCAGCCTTTGGCATTGACATCTTCAACTTTCAATGGGCCACCTGGCCTTGTTGGTGCTCCTAAATTAATTTAAAATAATAAATTTTATTGTAAATTAATATATAACTTATTTATTTATGTTTTATTCAAAACTGCACAGAGGGTGATAAAATTATCTAATGTTAATCTAACATTTTTTTATCTTATATTAGCATTTAATTATATAAAATATTCTTACATGATGATTAAAATTAATCCAACAGATGAAATATTTTTTTGAAGAATTTATTATAATAATGGAATTTAATAGTTTACAATAAAATTCTACAGATATAAACTGTTGCTGATATTTCTAATTTAGAAGTGTTAGTTTTATTATTTTGTGTGTTTGTAGAATGCTTAAAAGTATAGGAAAAATGTAGTGAAATATTCATATAAGTGAATTTATCATTTATTTGTTATTATGAAGTATTTAAAATTAATCATTCAATAATAAATAATCTTAATTTTATTTTGATAAAAGTAGGGAAATTCAACTGATGTGCCACTTGAAAAATCTTTTTAAATGTACAGTATATCAAAAGTTAAAATTTCACAACCAGCAATAAGACAAATTATAGTAAGAAAATAAAAATAAAGAAGTTATTAACATAAACATAAAATATAGAATAAAATAAAAAACTTTGCAAGAACAAGGAGGAAAACTGTTGAACAATACAAAAAAAACTGAAAAGTAAGCTCTTCCAACTTAAATAGAAAAAATATTAGTTATGATTGTAATTTACTAGAATCTAATTTTTTTGTATAAGAAAAAATTTTGATTCTGTAATATTTTATCTTATCTTGTTAACAATATCTTGATATTGTTCACAGTAGTTAGAGAAAAATTTCTGTAGAAATGTATTAAATCAAAACTGAAGTAACGATTACATTTCCTTCAACTTTACAACAATATATAGTGTGGTTGTGTTTCATGCTGGGTTTGTTTATCAGCAGGCACCACATAAAATGAAATTCTATATAAATTTGTGATTTATCCCAAGTTATTCCATATAATTGCCTAGATACTTATACTGTACAACTATTTACAATTAACAGAAAAATATTAAATGTAGTAAATACATTTTATTTATGTTTTTACTATAATTAATAACACTTTAATCCAATATTTCTGAATATACAGAGCAAAAGTTTATTATACTATATGACATACACTGCTTGAGAAAAATACAAACAAACTAAGGTATTATCATAGTGGGCAATCTTTAGTAGTTCTCCATGTTAGAAGCTGGAGAAGCACAGTTTGATGACTTAAAAGTCAGATTCAGTAGCAGTATTAAAGGATACTGTATTGTAGTGCTACACTACTATTCTTTGTATTTATGTGTGTTGCTTTTTATTTATGTACCTGTTTTTCCTTTTATTTTGTATCGGGTGTTACTTTATGTGTGTTAATTCGCGTGGTGTTATCTTTTCCATGTGGACCTTATGGGAGCCCGCTGATTGGGCAAGTAGTGTCATGTGTGTAAAAACATACTTCCAGATGGTGGGAGATATAAAAATCGTGGGTTGACACCTGTGAGATCCAACCTCAGAATAAGCCCAAATTGTTCATTTTCCCCCCTAAATTTTCGACGTATTTGAAATAAATTTGTCGCCTCCTCGTTACAATAACATTCTCTGAAAAAAGAATCAAATATCGATCGCAACTTATAACTTTCATCGTTAATATAAACATTTAACCCTCAAACAATGACATTCCTCTGCTGCAAGACAAAAAGTTTATAGTTAAAGTCCGAATTCGTCATTTTGTTTTGGTCCCGGGAACAACTTTAACCTCCACACCTGCAGGACCAACTCTACCTCACACAATAGGAGATCACCTGACTAATTTCCCCTACCCGAAGCTATAAAAGCGATTTCTTTCCCCCTCCTCGGGGAGTCTCACATCAACGGTATGAAAGGATTAAGTCTCCAGAAATTTTTACTTTGTGCGTCGAACTCTGTGCCTACGTTGAATCTACTAGAGGTATGGAACAAATAATTGTAAACTCTCTCCGCGAGTTAGGAGCTAGTGAACTAAATTCATTTCCCCAGATGTTAGATTTTGTATTCTTTAATTTTTTTTTCTTTTCATTAATCTAATAAATCGTTGTTTCCATTGTTAAATGGTGTCCTTTTACTCTCATATCGCCTATGCCTCGTCGACCCCTCTCACCTCCTCCACTCGACCTGACAAAAAGAATCCCAACCCTTCGGGACAGCATTCGAAATTTAGCCATCTTGACAAGTGAGCAGGTTTAACGACCTGTAGCCAAAAAGGGAGAGTCTATGGTTCCCGACCTCCCCGGCTGTTCACACACCTAAAAGGACTTTTTCTTTTTTCCGTCTACCTGGCTTGGAACTGTTTATGTAGGACAGGGGTTGCCAAAGTGGTCGATATGGACCCCCAGAGGTCGATGCAGCATCATTGGGGGGTTGATGCAGCTAGGGGGTCGATGTGGCGAAGGGGCCCCAAAACCTTTTTTTTTGACCACAACCCACAACGTTATTTTTTTTTTCGCTCATACATATACACTTGTAATAAAACTTTACGGTGGGGTTCAATGTGAGGCTTTGGAAAGTGATTGGGGGTCGATGGTTAAAAAAGTTTGGAGACATGGAGACTAATGAAGGGACTTATCAAACAGTCTGAAGAAATCCATGCCCATCCATTTGGACAAACAGAATTCAGCAAAAACTGTGCTTGAAATGTGTGAAGGAGTCCCCATGTTCGTTATTCAGACTATTATTTTTTTTATATACAGTCGACCCCCCTATAATGTGCGTTCCTATAACGGAAATTCCTATAACATAGCGAAAAAATTGTAGCAACATTCGTATAAAGGAACTCCTAAAACGTCGTCGCTGACTCGTTTCACGACAAGATTGATAGAATCTGGACCAATAGTGGATGAGCAGCCGAACTACTTTCCTCCGCCCTGCGCCACACTACAGAGCGGCTAAATTGAGTTTGCTATCATCTATACAGTATTATATATAAATTAGGTACTGTATATATAATTATATATTAACTTAATTTATTGTAACTTTATTATAATTATATATATGCTTTCTGCCGCCTGGCAACACGCTACGGAGATTTTAGGCTAGTAAGTTGAGTTTATTATNGATCTGGATCCGATTCGAAAGATAAAATGCTATGATGCGGTAATAATATTGGTGAAAATCCCAATAAATGCTTTAAAAACAGAATCAAGTTAATACATTTCAATCTCTTTCTTTTTTCATTACTAAATTGTAAATTCCGTATTATAGCATAGTTACAAATAACACTATTATTGGATAATTCTGCCATAAAAGTGTGCAATAAAAATAACTTAATTTGTATACTTTTTTGCCAATTTCCAGATAAATATCCAAGAAATAAAATGCCAATGAAAAATATCTTTCGTTGTCCCATCATCATTTTATGATGAAATCCTCGTGTTTTAAAATTATATTTACTAATATTTACAGAAATTTCTCATAAAACTTTAAAACTCGGCAATAAATGTTTATACTTAACTTATTTACTTTACCGATTGACTTGAAACGATATAGATCTAATGTGCTTTTCCATTAAATAAATAATAAAACTTTAATTAGTTAAAATATCCTTTGTTCAAATATTTAGATTTTAATTTTAAGATTTTTATATAAAACTTAATTTTTTTTAAATCCAGAAAACAAAAATAAACCGAGAAGTTTATTCATTATATATCCTACTTTCTTTTAATATCTTCTAACAATCCAAATTCTCTCTCTCTCTCTCTATGTAAAATCATTCTTGTGTTGAAGATAAAACAAGAACTAAACTATTTTATTGATTCATTTTTTCCTAAATGGTTCAAATAATAGCATATTATTTGAACGATTACTTATTTTTAAATCTGAGTTTCATTTAACATATATTCATTGCAGATGAAAGAAGAAAATACTCAGAATTTTAGTGCATATTGAAAATTTTGCACAAAATAGATTAGCCATAGATTTGCACAAAATATTAAGCTACATACAAATAGTGGCATGTGACTAGAATAGAATTTTAAGATTTAAAAACATTAAATTAATTCATTTTATTCTGATTATTAATTATCAGCTGTTAGTTTTAATTATTAAAATTTATAATTTTCTTGCTGTCAAGTTGCTCTTCTACTAATAATAATAAAATTAATTTTTATTATTTTTAATATATTTGATTTCAACAATTAAATTGGTAAAAATATATATAAACACGTAAAGCTTTTGTATCTGGTTCTACTACAGATATCTCGTTTCGACATGAAATTCATCGAATCAATCGAAAGCAGCTGATGATCCGTTGGATATCGCGGGGCAAAGTAATCATTTACTTCAATCGGATATTGTCTAAATCTAGAAGGAACAGTTATCACCAGGAGCGTTGTTGGAGTTACTCAAGGATGTCATACATTTCTATCACTAAGTGTTCAGATAAGAATTTGGCCCCAGGATTGATCAGTCATCTTTTCATCTGACTCTAAGCGCAATCGCCAGTTGGTGGATAGTTTGGCAATTTCTAGATGCCCAAGTCTTTATTTCATCTCGAATTGAGGATTTGTTTTTAGCACTTAATAATTTCTATATTTTTTCTTTATTTATAATCCAATTCGTCCTGTAGACATTGTTAATTCATCCGTGTCCATACTTTTAATCTTTAGCAAATTTAAATTAAAAATGTGGAATTCTACAAATTTATGCTTAAACAATTTTTATTATACTTTTAAAATAATGGAGTACAGTTTATTTTGGCAAAGACTATTTTTCAGAAAGAATTTATTTACTAAATACGTAATTTATACTGCTGGCCAAGTGAAATGCAACACCATGTAGGCCTCTAGATATTGCAGGTGTTGCATTTTACTTGGCCAGCAGTGTATTATGTTGAATATTCTCTTCCAAAAGCGATTAAAACAAATTTAGTGAGTATCTCAACTTAAAATATTTATAATAAACAATTATAATTTACCTAGAACTACTACTTCAACTTCAGCCTCATCTTTTCCCACTTCATTTTCTGCAATAATTTTATATAAGCCTGTATGTTTTCTTTGAGCATCTTGAATAGTAAATTTTGTATTATAGTCAACATTCACAATTTCAATATTTTCCTTGCTTTCTACAACCTGAAATTTTGAAATAAATTCATGTAACTATATTTATTATAAAATAATACATTTGTATAACTATAATAATTTTAAAATAGCAACTGTTTAAGTAAGAAATTTGAACTGCCAACTTCTTTAGGATACCAGTTTCAATATTCTTTTAGCAGAATTAATTTAATCAGATAGTTTCTGGTAGGTTAAATATTCATATGATAGGAGTATTGAATTCCCATAGCTTTCTGCTATCACTCAATAAAACTCAAATCACATACAAAACCTATTACATTGTCTTAAATTACAAAGATCAAAAACAGAAAATCATTAATTCATATTTAGGATGCTAATTATAGTCATTTTCTCATCATTGATGATTTATGTTCATAATTTAATTCAGGTTAATGGTCTTATACAGTGGTGTAACTAGCTTTTTAGTACCCCCATAATATCACTTTCATTAAAAAATTTCTTACATTAACAGTTTCATTTTCAATAGATAACATTAAAAATAAAAAGAAAATTTAAGTAATATTTGTTAGAAATACAAAGTTTATATTCTGAATTATAGAACAAAATAAATTAATATTCATACCATTTCCTTCAATTTCCATGTTATTTTAGGAGGTGGTTCTCCTCTAACATTTACATCCAATTTCACAACTTTTCCTCTCTTAACAGTAATTGTATCAAGATTTGTTCTGTCAATATATGGTTTCACTAATGGAAGAAAGAAAATGAATTTTAATTTATTAACATTTTCAAAAGTTGATTGTACATGTATAAGAGCATACAGTATTTGAATAAAAATGATATTAAATTTTATAGAATACATAATTACTATCTACATTTAAATAGTGTTAATTGAGGAAAAAGTACACAGTATATAACTTATATATAAAATCAATTATATATATTTTATAATGACAAAAATTTGTATAAGTAAGTTTTAAGTATAAATTGTATAAATTGAAATATATAATTTCAATTTATACAAATATATATTAAATAATCTTAGAAACTTTTTAATTAAATATTTTAAATCTTAAAATTTGAATTATTTAATTATAATAAATTAGTTTTACTCACATCGTCTATGCTTAACAATATGAATTTTAGTTGCATCACTTGGTTCACTTGGACCAGCTTTATTTACAGCAATGACTCGAAACTGTAATTCTTGTCTTTCCTTTAAGTCTGGAACTTTAGCCTGTGGAGTATTACCATGAACTTCAACAGCTTTTTCCCAGTTAGGACTGAATTTATCCTTTTTCTCAACAATATACTTTGTAATTGGTGCACCACCATCACTCTTAGGTGGTTCCCATTTAAGATCAACACTAGTATCATCCCAATCAACAAATTCTGGTAAACTTGGTGGTCCTGGTTCATCTAGTAATTAGAAAAATATGTATTAGTAAAAAATTTTATAGGAAAAAGTTATTTTAATATTAATTATATATACCATATGGATTCTTGGCTAAGGTAGCTCTATCAGTTGTTAATGGTTCTGATTCGCCTTCAGGATTTACTGCTTTAACACGGAATTGATATTCTTTACCAGGTGTTAATCCAGTAACATCATATTCAGGTTTATCACTATCAGTACGTCCTACAGGTACCCAATTTCCTGTAGAAGTATCCAGTTTTTCAACAACATAATGGCTAATTGGTTTTCCTCCATCATCTTCAGGTTTCTTCCATTTTAGTTTGCAGCCTTTGGCATTGACATCTTCAACTTTCAATGGGCCACCTGGCCTTGTTGGTGCTCCTAAATTAATTTAAAATAATAAATTTTATTGTAAATTAATATATAACTTATTTATTTATGTTTTATTCAAAACTGCACAGAGGGTGATAAAATTATCTAATGTTAATCTAACATTTTTTTATCTTATATTAGCATTTAATTATATAAAATATTCTTACATGATGATTAAAATTAATCCAACAGATGAAATATTTTTTTGAAGAATTTATTATAATAATGGAATTTAATAGTTTACAATAAAATTCTACAGATATAAACTGTTGCTGATATTTCTAATTTAGAAGTGTTAGTTTTATTATTTTGTGTGTTTGTAGAATGCTTAAAAGTATAGGAAAAATGTAGTGAAATATTCATATAAGTGAATTTATCATTTATTTGTTATTATGAAGTATTTAAAATTAATCATTCAATAATAAATAATCTTAATTTTATTTTGATAAAAGTAGGGAAATTCAACTGATGTGCCACTTGAAAAATCTTTTTAAATGTACAGTATATCAAAAGTTAAAATTTCACAACCAGCAATAAGACAAATTATAGTAAGAAAATAAAAATAAAGAAGTTATTAACATAAACATAAAATATAGAATAAAATAAAAAACTTTGCAAGAACAAGGAGGAAAACTGTTGAACAATACAAAAAAAACTGAAAAGTAAGCTCTTCCAACTTAAATAGAAAAAATATTAGTTATGATTGTAATTTACTAGAATCTAATTTTTTTGTATAAGAAAAAATTTTGATTCTGTAATATTTTATCTTATCTTGTTAACAATATCTTGATATTGTTCACAGTAGTTAGAGAAAAATTTCTGTAGAAATGTATTAAATCAAAACTGAAGTAACGATTACATTTCCTTCAACTTTACAACAATATATAGTGTGGTTGTGTTTCATGCTGGGTTTGTTTATCAGCAGGCACCACATAAAATGAAATTCTATATAAATTTGTGATTTATCCCAAGTTATTCCATATAATTGCCTAGATACTTATACTGTACAACTATTTACAATTAACAGAAAAATATTAAATGTAGTAAATACATTTTATTTATGTTTTTACTATAATTAATAACACTTTAATCCAATATTTCTGAATATACAGAGCAAAAGTTTATTATACTATATGACATACACTGCTTGAGAAAAATACAAACAAACTAAGGTATTATCATAGTGGGCAATCTTTAGTAGTTCTCCATGTTAGAAGCTGGAGAAGCACAGTTTGATGACTTAAAAGTCAGATTCAGTAGCAGTATTAAAGGATACTGTATTGTAGTGCTACACTACTATTCTTTGTATTTATGTGTGTTGCTTTTTATTTATGTACCTGTTTTTCCTTTTATTTTGTATCGGGTGTTACTTTATGTGTGTTAATTCGCGTGGTGTTATCTTTTCCATGTGGACCTTATGGGAGCCCGCTGATTGGGCAAGTAGTGTCATGTGTGTAAAAACATACTTCCAGATGGTGGGAGATATAAAAATCGTGGGTTGACACCTGTGAGATCCAACCTCAGAATAAGCCCAAATTGTTCATTTTCCCCCCTAAATTTTCGACGTATTTGAAATAAATTTGTCGCCTCCTCGTTACAATAACATTCTCTGAAAAAAGAATCAAATATCGATCGCAACTTATAACTTTCATCGTTAATATAAACATTTAACCCTCAAACAATGACATTCCTCTGCTGCAAGACAAAAAGTTTATAGTTAAAGTCCGAATTCGTCATTTTGTTTTGGTCCCGGGAACAACTTTAACCTCCACACCTGCAGGACCAACTCTACCTCACACAATAGGAGATCACCTGACTAATTTCCCCTACCCGAAGCTATAAAAGCGATTTCTTTCCCCCTCCTCGGGGAGTCTCACATCAACGGTATGAAAGGATTAAGTCTCCAGAAATTTTTACTTTGTGCGTCGAACTCTGTGCCTACGTTGAATCTACTAGAGGTATGGAACAAATAATTGTAAACTCTCTCCGCGAGTTAGGAGCTAGTGAACTAAATTCATTTCCCCAGATGTTAGATTTTGTATTCTTTAATTTTTTTTTCTTTTCATTAATCTAATAAATCGTTGTTTCCATTGTTAAATGGTGTCCTTTTACTCTCATATCGCCTATGCCTCGTCGACCCCTCTCACCTCCTCCACTCGACCTGACAAAAAGAATCCCAACCCTTCGGGACAGCATTCGAAATTTAGCCATCTTGACAAGTGAGCAGGTTTAACGACCTGTAGCCAAAAAGGGAGAGTCTATGGTTCCCGACCTCCCCGGCTGTTCACACACCTAAAAGGACTTTTTCTTTTTTCCGTCTACCTGGCTTGGAACTGTTTATGTAGGACAGGGGTTGCCAAAGTGGTCGATATGGACCCCCAGAGGTCGATGCAGCATCATTGGGGGGTTGATGCAGCTAGGGGGTCGATGTGGCGAAGGGGCCCCAAAACCTTTTTTTTTGACCACAACCCACAACGTTATTTTTTTTTTCGCTCATACATATACACTTGTAATAAAACTTTACGGTGGGGTTCAATGTGAGGCTTTGGAAAGTGATTGGGGGTCGATGGTTAAAAAAGTTTGGAGACATGGAGACTAATGAAGGGACTTATCAAACAGTCTGAAGAAATCCATGCCCATCCATTTGGACAAACAGAATTCAGCAAAAACTGTGCTTGAAATGTGTGAAGGAGTCCCCATGTTCGTTATTCAGACTATTATTTTTTTTATATACAGTCGACCCCCCTATAATGTGCGTTCCTATAACGGAAATTCCTATAACATAGCGAAAAAATTGTAGCAACATTCGTATAAAGGAACTCCTAAAACGTCGTCGCTGACTCGTTTATNAACCCATGACATAATTTGGAAAAATATAAGAGAAAGTAAGCAATGGATGTGCGATAACGATATAGTGCTTACAAGAGCTGACAAGTCAAAAAGTACAGTCTTAATGAAGAGGGACACATATAAGGAGCTTTTAACAGTGTACATAAAAGACATGGAATGCAAAATGGCACACCCAAAGGCTTTGGAAAGGTTACAAGCAAGAGTAAAACGTTTCTCTACGACAACGTTAGCTAAGCAACTAAGAATGACAAGGATAATAGTTTCATCCCCAGCCATGCCGAGGCTATTCAGATTTGCTAAGACACATAAATCAGAAAGAAGCTTGAGGCCAGTAGTGGATAAATGCTGTGCTCCTATGATACTATTAGAATAGAAGCTTAAGGAATTTATTAATGCAAACATGCCTCCACATGTTTATAACGTAAAGCAGCAATTAAAAGTACTCCAGAAGTTGAAACAACTGAAAGTTAACGAAACAAGCTACATGACAGTGCTCGACTTTAAGGCTATGTACCCTTCAATTAAGCTTGAGCCATATTTTTGTCACCTAAGAGATTTTTTATTGGGCAATATCGATAACGCAGCAAAGTTAAGAAGGCAAATTCTAGAACTGGCGCATTTGGCTACATTCTCATCAATTTTCATTTTTGACGGTAGTGCATACTCGCAGCTTAGAGGATTACCAATGGGTAGCCCAGTCTCAGGCTTATTGTGCGAGATGGTAATAAGATCTCTGGAAAATAGCGTATTGCAGAAATATGAAGCTAATATGATAATGTATGCAAGGTACATAGACGACGTATTTATTATTTGGAAGGATAAACCAGACATACGCCAATTTATTAGAGATAAAAACAGCAATACTTATGGCCAGGAATTAGAACTAGAGCAGTAAAATCATAAAAGGATATATTTCTTAGATATAGAAGTCAAAATAGAAGAAGAAGGGCAAATCACTATAAAAGTATATAGAAAGCCAATGTACATTTTGAATTTGATACCATGGTCCTCTCATGACCCAACAAGCTACAAACTAGCAGCATTTAGAGCACTGATTAAAAGAGCATACACTCATTATAGCAAGGTTCATGACACACGTAAAGAGCTGGAATACATCACAAAGCTAGCAAGAGATGTAGGACTTAAGCAAAATAAAGTAAAAGCCTTAATACAAGCAGAAAAAGGAGGCAATAAGAATAAAGATAAGAGAGAGAAAAAGGAGTTCACCATAATGGAATACAGAGCACCGTTAAGCAACATATACAGAAAAATAGGAATAGAAAGCAACAAGAGAATAGCGTATAAGAGAAACGCGACAATATTCCAAATGCTAAGAAATGACAAAACACCCATAGACAGGAGGCTGGTTTCAGGTGTGTACAGAATACCGTTGCATGATAAGAGGCTAAAAAAGGAGATATATTATATAGGAGTCACAAAGAGATCATTAAATGAAAGATTGAAAGAGCACGAAAGGAATATAAGATTTAAACAACCAAACACACCTTTGGCTAACTATGCAATTGCAGATCCGACAGAGATTGAAATCAAATGGAGCAAGGCAGATGTCATACAAAAGGTTGAAAATAGAAGACATCTAAAATATGCAGAAGCTTGGCACATTTACAAATACAGAGAAAAAGGGCAAAATATAAATTTTCAAGAGTCAAGCAGGGTAGCATCGGCGTGGAGGGCGGAGGCATTACAATTATAAAAATGGACATGCGCAATTGAATATGAGAAGATTATAGAAGATTATAGAACGTTTTGGAATTTCCGTTTGGAAAATTTAAATTCTATTAGTTCGATCCTGAAGAAGGTCTGTTAATCTGACTGAAAACATTTGAAAAGTTTTAAAATAGACTGCATTTTAAAGGTATTTGGAGTTTATTAATTGATTAATTCATCACTTTAAATTTTATTATAAAAATGTATTGCAGTTGATTATAGTTAGCTTAGGATTCTATAACTTCCATATTTTATATCTACTCACAATAGTCTCTATTACTAGTGTTCATTTTTACCTTTTATATAAGTCTGAATTAATTCATTTTGTTTAAGTATTAAAAAACTGAAATAATTTTTGACTTACCATAAGGATTTTTGGCAATTACTGATTCTAAAGTCTCCAGAGGTTCAGAGTCTCCTTCTTCATTTACAGCAGCAACTCTAAAGAGATATTCTTTTCCTGGTGTTAAACCAGTAACTTCAAACTCTGGTTTATCTGTTTTACCACATCTTGTCCATCGACCAGTTTCTTTATCTAATTTTTCAATTTCATAATGTTTAATTGGTGTTCCACCATCATCTTTAGGTTTGTTCCATTTTAATTTACATCCTTCTTTATGAACATCTTCCACTTTAAGTGGACCCTCTGGTCTTGTAGGTGCACCTAAATAGTAAAAGTTATTTATTATTATTTATAATTATTTAATATTTTTATAATTTTAGAGGAAAAAGTCATTATTTAGCTCCTAATTTGATAAAATATTTCTAAATAAAATTTTCCATGATATATTGTATGACTAATTAAAAAGTATTCTTCTTCTGTCAAAGAATAGAAGCATGAAAAATATATATAATGGATCAAAGCCAAATATATGTGTGAATTTATTTTCTATGTGAACTCAATTAATAGCAATCCAATTCTAATGAAGGTAATTCTTTTTTAGAATTGAGTTTTTAAGATGTTCAAAAATATTTTCGAAAAAAGATGATAATTTTCAGTTAACTGATAAACAATAATAAAATTAAATGTTTCTAATTTTAGAGTAATGGTTAGATAATTATTTGATTTTGATCAAAATGTTCTTGAAGTAAACATTTCATTAGAAATGTTAAATTTAGTATTTATATATTAAAATAATAATGATAACACAGGTCAACAGTGGTTTTGGTGCCCAGGTAGTTTGAGCTGATTTCATATGAATTTGATGTCCTGAATTCAAATATGGCATTAGTTTTTGCCTAGGAGCTCTAATTTTTAAGATATAGCATTTTAGCGAAATATACATTTCAATATCTTAAGTTAAATCCATGGATCAAGTAAAAAAACTAAACACGGAATTTTTATTATTATATTATGCAAATATTATTCTATACAAAGATAGAGGAAAAAGTCATCAATAAAACTAAACAGTTACACATTGAGGAAGCTTCTTTTCCGTGACTTTCGTGAATGTATTTTGGAGCAATCCCTTTTTAAACTCTGCCATCATATGCGTATCCCATCTTCCTTGGTAGCGGTCCTCCATAGTTTTAATATCCTGGTGAAATCTTTCACCTTGTTCTTCACTGGTGTCTCCTAAATTTTCAGGAAAATGGTCTAAGTGACTGTGTAAATAGTGCACCTTAATACTCATATTACACCCAAGGAATTTGAAACTGTTAAGCATCTCGTTTACCAGTTCAACATAAGTTTCAGCTTTGCGTTTGCCTAGAAAATTTCTGACAACTGCAACAAATGAAGTCCGGGCTTTTTGCTCAGCTTCATTCATCGCATTGACGAAGGCAAGATCATTAATGAGTTGTCTTATTTGTGGGCCGTCAAATATTCCTGCTTTAATTGTTTCTATACTTAACTGAGGCATAAGAATTTTAGAAAGGCTTAGGTGGGGCATAGCACAAAAAAGGTTGGGAAACACTGATCTAGACACTGCATGGCTACAAACTTATCTCAACTCTAGTTGAAGCATTGAATGTCAATTCATTACCGAATGCTTACTTCATTTGGTGGATTTACCTGGAACTAACTGGATGGCAGACTAACAATGGGTAAAATATACAGGAATCAATTCTTGCATATATGATTTAGAACTGTACAAACTGAAATTAGAGCTGCACATTTCATGTAGCACTGTACGTTAAAAAAACAAAGATCTAAAAAAGTAGAGTCGATAGAGAAAAACTGATTTCATATTTGGATTCAGTGACCCAAATATGGCTAAAATCAGTTCTAAAATCCTAGGCACCAAGAAAAAAATTTTTTTTGTAGGCTTGTGTAATATAATGACAATTGTCACAACTTTCTGTAAAGACCAATATATACTAAGTCAATTCAAGAATCAAAACAGGTAAATGATATCATATCTTTAATGCTTTTCATTATCCCATTATCTTAGATAAATGCAATGATAGATATTGGAATTATTCCATATATGTATAAAATGTACAATAATGTTTTTGTGATAAAAATTAATTAATTATTATGAATAATAATTTAAATTTTAAATTCTGATAAATTATTTATATATTTTTTAAATTTAAAACTAGTATGTTTCATTCTTTATTTGCAGAATAATTGGTAATTAATTTGTGATTACATAAATGATAAGAATTTAATTTATAATACATACCTAATACTGTAAACTCAACTTGTGCACTGTCTTTACCAGATGCATTTGATGCAGAAATTGTATATCTCCCAGAATGTTTTCTTGTTGCTTTATTAATGCTAAAATCAGTATGATAATCTTTGTTTTCAATTTTAATAAAGTCATCATTTGAAAGTTTTATTTCACCAAATGTCCAAGTAATAGTTGGTGGAGGTTCACCTCTAACATCAACTTCATATTTATGTGATCGTCCAACTTTTACAACAATTGGAACTAAATTAGTGCGATCAATCATTGGTTTCACTGTAATTATAAGTAACAAAAATTAATGATCAAATTATATCTTTTTTAAGCTTTAAAATGAAATAATTTAATTCATGTAAAAGACATTGGTTTAGACTTATAGAACTTATTATTAATTAATTATTAAATAATAACTAACAATATATTTGCTGTAAATTTAAGCATTTTAAGATCATTGTGTTCCTGACTAAGTTATATTTGAAATTTTAAAAAATTTAACTTACAATGTCTATGTTTAATAATATGATGATCAGTTGGTTCACTTGGCTCACTGGTACCGGCCTTATTAACAGCTTTTACACGAAATTGATAAGACATATTCTCTTTAACATTTGTTACACGAGCTTCACATTTGTCATTATCAGTTTTCAAAACTTCAACCCAATCAAGACTAAACTTCTCTTTTGCTTCAATAATGTAAGTTGTAATTGGTCGTCCACCATCACTGGAAGGAGCAGACCATTTAAGATCAACTCTAGTATTATCCCAATCAATAATATCTGGTTTTCCAGGTTTACTTGGTTCATCTAAAATAAAAATTTTAATATTTCAAAAGCTGTAATCAATATTTTAATGAAATGCATATTATAGTTAAAAATTACCATAAGGATTCTTAGCCACAATTGGTTGATCAGATTCAAGTGGTTCAGATTCTCCTTCCTTATTAAGAGCCTTGACACGAAATTTATATTTTTTCTTTGGTGTAAGACCTTCAATTGTAAAGTTTTCTTTATCTGGACCAACTTCTCCAGCTGGAAGCCATCTTCCAGTATCCATGTCCATTTTTTCAATAACGTATCCTTTAAGTTCTTGACCTCCAGTATCGGGTGGTTTCTGCCATTTAATCTTAATATGATCAGCACGAACTTCTTCTGCAACCAGTGGACCACGGGGAGTTGCTGGCCTATCTACACACATCAAAATAAAAATTTAAATCTCTGTATGCATTTATTTTAAAATACTAATAAATATTTTAATATGAGAAACCAAACACTTACCAAGAACAACAACATCAGCATTTCCTGAAACAGTTCCAGAACTATTGGTAAGAGTTAAAGTATATTTTCCACTGTCTGCTCGTACAGCATCTCTAACTGTTATCATTGTTAACTTTGCAGCATTTTCAATAGTGATCCTAAAACACAAAATTATTATTTAATATTTTTAACTAAAATATAAAATAAATACTGAAATTATTCTTAGGACAAAAAAAAATTATATCCTTTTTGTCATAAAATCTGCTTCATAGAAATCACATAATCAGAGATTTAACTACATATGACTTACTTAGAATTGATATAAATTGCACTACTGCATTCAACTGGAAAAATTGTTATGTTAAAAAAAGACTTTGATATTTTGTCATTAACAATAAATACTTGTGTTCACCATTATCAATAAAAGTCAATATTTTATCAATTTCAATATATCGACATCCTAAAACCTAAATATTAATATTGTATACATTTATTGGCTTCAGTTTGATATATTGGCACAGCACTATTTAAAAATAATCATTTCTCATTCCTATCTTTATTTAAGAATTATATTGCAGATATCCCTTACTTAACATGGTTTTGCTTAATGTGAGATTTGATTAACACAGAAGTTTTAATTAACATGGCTTTAACAGCTATCTTTACTTAACATAGATACCATATTTGATTAACACAATTTTGATATACACAGTAGCATCAAAGGATTAATTAACTGTGTTAATCAAGGGATACCTGTATTGCTGAAATAAACAAGTAAAGCTACAAAAAAGGCAACAATCAGACAAAATTTCAGCTTTCAGAAATTACTATTGTGGAAGAGAAAATTTGAAGATAAACATGTGTGCAAAACAGGAAAGCAGTAGTTTACATTTACTTAGACAAGTACTTTTCAGAAGAGGTTGACCTGTATAACTGGATCAAAAATCACTTTAATATAGAAATCTCACCAACATTCACAATTGGAGAAAAGTAATTTACAGTCAACCCCCTATAACACTGTTGATAATTCCATTTTATATGAATTCCATGTTGTACGAGTCACTTAGATTTTACAAATACGTGAGCCGTTCACAGCCAGGCACACGTATTTGTAAAATCTAAGTGAATCATACAACATGGAATTCATATAAAACGGAATTATCAATAGCATTATAGGGGGGTCAACTGTATTCATATTTTGTCAAGATTCTATATTGAAATCAAAGTTTGTTTCCTCATCACCTTCCTCACTACTCAAGCACATCAAGCTACTTTAGAGCTTAGCAGGAGAATCCAGTAGGTAACCTATGAGTTTTGATTACTTTTGAAGCATCTGATTCATGTGAGGCAAGGTTTTCAGCATTGGCAGCCTCAAAACCAAATACAGATTACTATTGAACATTGAGAAAGAAATGTGAATTCCAAATTTTTGTCTACATTTGAAGAAAGCAAGTTCATCCTTCTCACAGAGTTTGTTTTTAAATAAAACATAAGTTTAACAAAATGTCATTAACACATTTTAATCATGTAACAAACATAGTCTTATTAATAAATATGGAAACTTGTTTGTTTTTATCCATATACTTTGTGTTGGATATCATGGACCAAAAAATATTTTTAATGGCTTCTGAACAATGGCTTTAACGGCCATTGAAAAGCCATTAAAAAACATTAAAAATTATTAAGCCATTAAAAATTTTGTTTTTCTTTGTAGCAATTTTTTCATACAAAGGAGTAGCAGGAAATTATATTCAGATAATAGAAGCTGTAAACCAGAAAATTTTGAAAAAATATGAATTTTTAAAATATATTTTTAAATTCTAAGTTTGAAAATTTTCATTTTTAATATTAAATTTACTTATATTTATTAATTACTAATGGAGAAGTATTTAATATCAAATATCAAAAATAAAAATTTTCAATTAGTAACATGATTGTTTAATTACTCTCACATCATTTTTAAAAAATTTAAATAACTTATTCTTTTATTTAGATTCTGAAAACATGTATAACTGAAATATAATTAAGATGAGATAAAATTGTTATATTTGTAAAATATCATTAGTTTATAAATATTTTTTTGTTTAATAATTACAAAAAATAATAATAAATTAGAAATCAAAATAATCTGTATACTAAAATAATAGGTATATTATTTTAGGATTATAACTGAGATTGTAATCACTATTTAATCATAAAATAGGGATGATGATACAAAAAATAATGCTAAAAAATTTTATATATTATTTTTAATCAATTTATAAGGGATTGTCCATAGATTATGTAACACTATTTTTATACTTTTCAACTATCATCCCACCTCTACAACATCTGTAATGCTGTTGCATATACCCACCCCAAAATTATTTAATACATATCCTTGATCAACCTTAATTGTACTAAGGAATAATACACAGCATTGGTACTGAACATTATATTATACATGTTATTAATGTACAAAGCAGTGATATAAATAATATGGTTTGCTATATAACACCTCAGAAACAAAAATGAATCATTCTGTTATCCAAGGGGTGAGATCCTAGTATTAGTAATTCGAACACAAATCAATTATTGTATTTATTCAGACACTTGGCAAATCTCATCATTAAATTTTATTCAGTTGACTGTACTTCACTGCGATACTGAATAAAATTTAATGATGAGATTTGCCAAGTGTCTGAATAAATACAATAATTGATATGTGTTTGAATTACTAAAAATTACTGGCACGGTTTCAAAAATACCAAAATCCTAGTATTATGTAACATTTTTGTAAACATTCCCACCCCCTTGTAATGCATCTTAAAGATTACCTGCATATCCACCCACCTTTGTCTGTGTTACATAATTTATGAACAGTCCCTTGTATGAAGAATCATAACAGCTTTAAATAAAGAATATATTCTTCAGTCAATATATTTTGAGTATTTCCAATAAGCATACAACAAAACATATTTTGAATTAAATAAACTAAAGAAATAGTCATTTACATGTCTAAAAATTCAGGTCAATATATTTTATGAATATGACATTTGAGTAATGTATGTTATAATTCTATCATCTATATATAGGTGTAAATGACTATTTCTTTAGTTTCTTTAATTTGATCACATATATATATGTATGTGTGATCAAATTATATATAGGTTACATATGTTTATATATGTATATATAATATGTAACCTATAAATATGTTGAAAACTTCACAGAAATAATGTAATGTAATTGATGTTTATTGTTAACAAGAAAAGTGATATAATTTAATTCATATAAGTTTCACAAAACCCTTTCACTCTTTTTCTAGCAGTTTCTTAATCCATAAGCCTTTGTGACCGTCAGCCATTTTGTAGTTTGTATATAGTTCACAATTCCTTATTTCATTCCTATTTTTCTACTTTCTTTCTATTGGCTTCGAGACTTTCCATATCGACCATTAATACTTGAGGAGGAGGATTACCCCTTCTCAGAACCAAGGGTTAAACAAAGGAGTAGGAGATTAGTGCTTCCCCAAATTTGGGGAAATAGACAAAATAAAACATAGCCCGAGGCAAGAAGAAAGAAGAGAGGGGAACACTTTTTGCTGGACCTAGAAAGGAACGAATGTACAGAGTAGTGAAAGAGACTCAAAAAGAGAGAAATAGGAAGAAGACGGCAGGTATAGGAAAGGACCACTGAGATTAAAGAGGAGAAAGCACGAGGGACTAGAGAAAACCAAAAGAATCAGAGAACCTCAAGAACGAATTGCTGAATCAGTAAAGGAGAATAAAAGGCCACAATTGTGAAAGGGCACTTCCCCGAAGATATCAATCTATCAATGTGGACCCGGGTAATATCTATCTATTTTTGTATACTTTCTATACTTTCCTAAGACTAATCGTTTCCTTTATTAGTTTTAAGTTAGACATAAGATTAGTTAACAAAGTTTTGTGTTACGTGCACATGTATTATATACTTGTATGAGAACAGGAGGTGACCCAATTCCCTGTGTGGATAATAGGGTGAAGGAACCTGTTAAGCTGGAATCTCTATAACAAATTAAGAAAAAAGAACCATGTTCAGAGAGCATTAAAGGAATATTCAATCATACACATTTTTTTGTTCCTGTGTTCCTATTTGTAACATTTATTCGCAGACTTACAAATATCTTGTTACAAACAACCACACCTTTATCCTTTTGTGAAACTTATTTAAATTAAAGAAGTTCTAGCTTTCTGTGCATGAAATTGTATTTTAATTCAGTTTTTACATAAATCATCTTATAAGTAATATCTACAATAATTAGATATATGGATAATATGAATATCATCATCTATAAGGAACTGGAAACCATTAATGTGAAAAAATGTTAAAATGCATAAAACATGTAGCTTAAAATTTGCTCACTGAATTAGCATTTGCTCTCTTAATGCAATATATTTACATACATAATTGATGCTCCTCAATTAAATTAAAAATAATTTATTTTGATTATCTAAATTAAATTTAAAAACTAAAATATCATCAATAGATAAATGAGGTGATCAATAGCTTCAGAAAAATGTTTTATCTCATGGTCAAAGAGAAGAATAGTTTCTTCTAGCATCTTGAAATAGTGAATAAAGATACCTCCACTGTTGTTATAAAATAATGCAGATTAATGACACTTATATTAACAATATGTTTTATGAGTTTATTTAAATGTCATTATATCTTGTAATGATACATTTATGAGTTACAGAAAACATGATCAATAACTCTAACTTATTAATCAAATTGATGCTGCTCAGTAAATAGGTCAAGGTCATCAACAAAACAACTATTAGATTTAGGAAATTCATAGTCCCATTCTTAAATTTATATATTTTCAGAAATTATTAAATCTAGTAAAGATTTCTAGATACCTATGTAAAGATTATAAGAAATATTTCACCAATACAATACTATAATCCAAATAATTTAAATATGCTATATATATATTATGATATATNTCATTATTTTAATATTTAAGAGCAATTAATCTTATACTTTATACTGTAAAATCTGCTTCTTGTAATCTGAAACATTGTCAAGATTAGCATGTCTCAAAATACACAAATTAAAATACACTTATAAAACTTAGCTTAAAAACTGCTTATTGTAATCAATATTCACATCTTTTTGAGCTGCAGTTTCAACATGTGGTGGATAATACTCAATTATTATCAATTAGCATTATCAATCTTAATCATTATTTGCTTCAATAAAAGTTTAAATTATTGTCATCTATGGTATTACTTCATTACATACTGATTCAATTATTAATAATTATTATTATAATTAGTAAATCTTTCAAGTTATAACCTTTTTAATTGCTTTAACAAATCTTTTTAATGTCACAGTACCAAAACAAAATTTCCACTAATTGTAGCCTTATTTATATTGCTTAATGTTATCAGTCCATTATCATCATCAATATATTGATAAGTGTGTTCCAAAGTAATTACATAAATGAATTCTACTATATTTTAATTAATACATTTTTAAGGATTTATAATAATAATTCTATCTTTTCTATATTTATTTTACCTTGAAATTCTTTTATTTAAAAATACATTTTGAAATTTATTACTGTACACCAAATTTTATAATTATTATAATAGTAAATACTAAACATTTAAAAACACAAAAAAATAATGTTACATTCATTTTATTCATACTTACTTCTTTGATGCAACTATTGTTGTGCCATTTAAATCCCATTTCACATCAGGTGGTGGTTCACCTCCAATCTTAATTTCATATTTTATAACTTGGCCTTTTTTGACTACAATATTCTTCAAATCATCGCCAATGATATATGGCTTAACTAAACATTTAAAATATTTATTGAAAAAATATTATTTGATACATACAATTAAATAATAAAAATTTTACCATAATAAAAATATTTCTGTGCATGAAATTGTAATTTAATTCAGTTTTTACATAAATCATCTTATAAGTAATATCTACAATAATTAGATATATGGATAATATGAATATCATCATCTATAAGGAACTGGAAACCATTAATGTGAAAAAATGTTAAAATGCATAAAACATGTACCTTAAAATTTGCTCACTGAATTAGCATTTGCTCTCTTAATGCAATATATTTACATACATAATTGATGCTCCTCAATTAAATTAAAAATAATTTATTTTGATTATCTAAATTAAATTTAAAAACTAAAATATCATCAATAGATAAATGAGGTGATCAATAGCTTCAGAAAAATGTTTTATCTCATGGTCAAAGAGAAGAATAGTTTCTTCTAGCATCTTGAAATAGTGAATAAAGATACCTCCACTGTTGTTATAAAATAATGCAGATTAATGACACTTATATTAACAATATGTTTTATGAGTTTATTTAAATGTCATTATATCTTGTAATGATACATTTATGAGTTACAGAAAACATGATCAATAACTCTAACTTATTAATCAAATTGATGCTGCTCAGTAAATAGGTCAAGGTCATCAACAAAACAACTATTAGATTTAGGAAATTCATAGTCCCATTCTTAAATTTATATATTTTCAGAAATTATTAAATCTAGTAAAGATTTCTAGATACCTATGTAAAGATTATAAGAAATATTTCACCAATACAATACTATAATCCAAATAATTTAAATATGCTATATATATATTATGATATATNTCTTTGTTTTATATGATTTTATTTTGTCAATTAATGTTATGTCTGGTCTGTATTGATGGAGTGATTTATCTGTAAATATATTTCTGTCATAGACTGTTTTGTGGATATTGTTTGTTGACTATAATACATATACTGTCTGTGGACATGTATTTGCAGTATAATAGTTGAGTGTGTATTAATTTGTGTTTACATGCAAATGGGTGATGTATTATGCTTGTTATTTGATTATATCTATGTAAATAATCCATGTGTGCTATATGTTTGCACTCTATTATATTATTTCTGAAATGATATGATATCTTTTACATGTGCCATCTGTAAGTGTTATATACTTCCTATATTCTTTTATGCTTATGTGTATGATCTTGTATGATAATCCTGAACCCTTCAGCATCTGAAAAACGGTACCTCTGAGCCAGCCAGTAGTCTGATACAATTTTGTCAACAAAATTCTGACTAAGATCATATGGATATCAGTTATGGAGCTCTTTCTGTATTTACAAGTATTTATCAATATCTATATTTTTCATGTATTATGTTTTGTCCAGACTAGTTTTATGAAGTTTTAGTGTTGAATTAATTCTGCCTGCTAGAATTATCACTTTATGTAATTGTGATGTTCTTTTTTCACAACTTTGCAGTGACTATATTTGTTTGTAAGAGATCTTTTTATGTCAACAAGGACTTGTAGTCGTAGATTTAATTCTAATTTGGTATACATAGGAGCAACCATGAGAAACTTAAAGAAAGGAATTGCTGAACATAAGCACTCGGTAAATAAAAACATAGACTCTATGGTGCTTGCTGCCTTTGCTAAGCAACAGAATATCGAGGTCTTTTGGGATCGGGCGTCGATCATTAAAGCTACAAGATCCAGGCAGGCTATAAAACATCTGGAAAAACTAGAAATTCACAAGGCGCAGTTGCACACAAACTGTATTAATCATAGGGATGCTGACAGATTGTCATCAGCATGGAAATCCTTCTACGAAGAGTTTATGTAAGCGGGAAGAATAATTAAGATAATTTTTACTGAATGTATATATTTTATTTTATTTCTTTATTTCGATTTAATTAACTTGTATAATTTTTGCAATTATTTAAACTTGGTAAATGTTAATGTATATTTATGTAACCGCTTTTTGAATTTTGTTTTATGTAATTTCGAATTCTTCATTCGATTCAAAATGATAACTGAGGATGATCACTTAAAGCGTTCGAAAGCGTTTTTAAAATATTAAAAAAACGATTTGCTGGATTGTTTAAAGGTTTTGATTTTTATTTATAGTGTAGTTCCAGTAAGAAAGTATTTTATTTATTTAATACTTCAAAAACTGAAGAAATATACTAAATTTCAGAATGGCAAAATAAAATACAATGTACATCAAATAAAAATAAAATCTATTAAATATGTTTAATAGATTCTAGAGATATGTAGTTATTCTAAATGCTATGCTTCTGTAAAAATGCTTAATTCATTTTTCAAAATGTCTTTTAATACTTTGTTGTATTCTTTTGAATTGATACAAAATAATATCTTCTCAAATAAGTTTTGTTTTTTGAGAAAAGAATATAGACAGAAGTAATGAAAATGAATAAATATGTTGGATATTCTAGATAATTTGCCAAAAATTGTTTTATTGTAAGTAAAATGTTTTCAAATGCATTTCAATAAGAAAAATCTAACAATGAAGCAATTCAATTTGGTTTGAAAAAGTCAAAAAAACCATACATTAATAAAGAGAAATTCTTCTATTTTAAACAATTCTTTTGAAAAATAAAACCACTTGAATTGCTTTAAACCATCAAACTAATAAACTTTTGAAAATAAAAGAATATTCAAATAATGTTTAAGTTGTTCAAAGAGTTTGAATTAAACCTTGATTTTTGAAATTTTATGAAAAATGATGATAAATTTTTTAAAGTAACTTATGTTTGAAAAAAAGTTAACTTACCATATGGATCTTTAGCAATTATAGATTTAGGAGTCACTAATGGTTCTGATACACCTTTTTTATTAACTGCTCGAACTCTGAATTTATATTCCTTCTTATGAACAAGATTGTTTACATCAAGAGTAGTGTCTTTTGCAGTACCAACTTCCACCCATCCACCTCTCTGTCCAAGATCTTGCATCTCTACCAAATAATGAAGTAAAGGTAATCCTCCTGTATCTTTTGGGGGTTTCCAGGAAAGTTTACAACGATCCCTGAAGACATCTGTGACATCAAGTGGTGCTTGTGGTGGCTGTGGTACATCTAACATTAAAAAATATATAAATAATTAATTGTTTCTATATAATTAAAATTATATTGAAAGTAAAGTTAATTATGTAAACAAACTTTAATTTTTATCACTTTAGTGTTGACTGTACTTCAACTGCTATTACTAGTGGCTTATTTTATTAAGATAGAATATATAATGTTATGTAACAATCTTGTAATGATAAAACAAAATAACTTAATAAATGCTTTCACATTTATCATTAATCAAAATTTTATGTACGTAATAAATTTTGTCATATTTTATTTTCTTGTAATAAACAAAAAATATTGAAACTTGAGAAAACCTTTTATAAATCTTTTATAGTAAATAAAGTTGGCATAAACTTTTCTTTAATGCTAATTATTGTATACTGTTATTTTCATTTGATTAAAAAATAACAATAAACAATAAGAAATATAACAATTATACATGTTATTAGTGATACTTCTTATGTTGATATCAAATATTTCCACATCAAATTTCTGCAAGAAGTTTTACTCAAGAATTAACTGTAATTGTATTTAAAATAAATATGAGGGTAGTCCCAGAAGTACCTGACCTAACAAAGAAGACACACAAAATTTGATAAAACATATATTTATTTTTCAACAGTCTCTTTTTAGCTCGATACACTTTTTCCAGCAATGTACAATAGCTTCAATCCCCTGTTTATAGTGAGAACTGTCGAGCCTCTCAAAATAGCCATCAACCGCAGACTCCACCTCTTCATTGTTAGCAAATCTTTTATCACCAAACCATTTTTTTAGTTTAAAAAGACAAAATAATCCAAGGGGGCTAAATCTCGTGAAAAAGCAATTTGAATTTTAACTCATTGATTTTGGCCATCACAATAACAGATGTGTAAACTGATGCGTTGTCTTGACGAAACAACACTTTCTTTCTTTTTTGCCAAATGTGGCAATTTTTTTTCTTCATTTCATCACTCAAGCGCTGTATAAGTTCGCATAATACTTGCCGTTGATTGTTTTTCCTGGGCCCATCCCAAAAAACTGACGCCATGACCTTGCCAGCAGATGGAACTGTTTTCGCCTTCTTTGGAGCTGATTCTCCCCTTTTAGTCCATTGTTGCGACNAAAACAAACGACAGACAATCTATTAAGTTTAACATATTTAGGTTTTTACAGCTGTGGTGAGAAATGTTTAAAATTTACAATAACACCTGTCGCGTCCTTTGATATATACTAGTGATGCGACAAAAGAGGCATTTGACATTAACTGGTATCGGCATCCTGGGGATTTGCCCTGCATGCATGCACTGCACACCTACCAAGACCGTCTCTGATTCCATCTATGAGCCACTCATAGAGAGCAATTTTAACTAAGTGGATTGTTTTAGTATTTAAAAAATAAAGAATATTTTGTTATTTTTATGTATGTTTCTTCACAAAACTATATCTAATTATAATTTTCTTTAAAAGTATATTCATACAATTGAATAGTTTGTACCAAGTATGTATAATTAATTGTATATCATCACACATTTTATTTTAACAAGTAAGTTTTTATAATTTTATAATTTTAGCCTTTATATTGTGGCTAGCGATTTAGAATGTAATTGTGATATTGAAAATTTATTTTTAAAAGTTTTGGCTCAAGACCATATAATGAAAAAGAAGACATTATTAAAAGAGAAAGACCAATGCCTAAATTAAATATAAATTCGTCAACAAAAAAATTTGTTTGACATTTTTATGATAAAATTTACAAAGACGTAAAATGGCTTTGTGAATGCATTGAAATGCAAAAATTGTTTTGTTGGTTTTGACTACTATTTTCAAATAAAATTAGTGTATGGAATAAGAATGGCTTTGATGATTTAAATAATTTGAGTAAAGCTTGCAAAAGACATGAAAATTGTAAATCCCACATCAATTTTTTCATAAAATTGAAGCAATTTGGAAATTAAAATAGAATAGAATTTAACATTAGTAAACAATATAAAATAAATATTGAAAATTATAACAAAGTTACAGCTAATAGATATATTATATCTAAGTTAGTAGATGTTATCAAAGCAAGAATTGACATTTAGAGGGCATAGGGAATCTATTTAATATAATATAACAAAGGTAATTAGATTGAACTTGCTTATTTATTACGTGTATTAGATAATCTATTAGTTAAAAATACATGTAGAGAAGTCTATGGTTTTTACTGGCTTATCGAACAAACAAATACGAATGGACCCTAGAACCAGTGCCAGCCCAAGGCAAGTTTTAGGATGGAGTGAGACTTTATTATGGTGCCTCCATGTTGCCCCTGATATATACCCTTTAAATTTTTTTTTACCATTGAGGTGCCCCCTAGGACTTAGTGCCTGGAGCAGCTGCTTCGTTTGCCCTGTGGTAAGGCTGGCTCTGCCTAGACCATCACTGACTGATTGCCCCTGGAATTCGGCTTCTTGCAGAAACACAGCTTCCCTATCATCAAACGTCACAGCACGCCACTGCAGTGCTATTAAGCTATGAATTGCAGTCTTGTTTTGCAAATGTAATTTTAAAAAAAATGGTGCATAGTTGGTGCAAATTCCTTGTGTAATTTATTTCAAAGTACAGTGGAACCTCTATATTTGTCAACCTCTATATTCGTAATATTTGATATTCATCACATTTTGATGACTTTTTTATTTTTCCATATTCGTCAGTATTTTCTGTATTCGTCATCATTCCCAACACTGGAAGTGGCACTACAGTCACACACCTGCACGATCAGCGCAGGTGTGCTCGTCATGTTAGCTAGCTGTAGTTAGTCTGTTTAGTGCAGTTGTCATGTGTGTTGTTGAGTTATTGAAAATAATCAATGTGAGAAATCAAGTTCCAATCGCTCCAAAGTGGCACCCAAATGTTGCTATAGTCAACCAAAATACAAATACATTCAATGATAATGTAATTGCCTACTTCAGAAAAGTTTTAAAAAGCAGACAAAAACACACAATACTGGACAAGTTCTTTATTAAATTGAGTGCTACTGANATAGAAAAATGATGGAGATCATTTTGAAATTAGTTATCATTTCAAAATACGTACAGTAGAACCTCTATATTCGTAATATTTGATATTCATCACATTTTGATGACTTTTTTATTTTTCCATATTCGTCAGTATTTTCTGTATTCGTCATCATTCCAAACACTGGAAGTGGCACTACAGTCACACACCTGCACGATCAGCGCAGGTGTGCTCATCATGTTAGCTAGCTGTAGTTAGTCTGTTTAGTGCAGTTGTCATGTGTGTTGTTGAGTTATTGAAAATAATCAATGTGAGAAATTAAGTTCCAATCGCTCCAAAGTGGCACCCAAATGTTGCTATAGTCAACCAAAATACAAATACATTCAATGATAATGTAATTGCCTACTTCAGAAAAGTTTTAAAAAGCAGACAAAAACACACAATACTGGACAAGTTCTTTATTAAATTGAGTGCTACTGAATCATTGGCAAAACAGATCCCATGATCATAATTGGGACTGCTTAATGTTTTAATTGATATGTCTTCTTCTAAATAATAATACTATATTATTAATATACTATATTAATAATACTGTTCTTTCCCTTCTACCACTATACTGTATTTATTTAGTACAATAAAGATAAAGTTTTACAAACAACATAATTTTTATTCTTGTACCTTTTTTTCAGGATGGGAACGGATTAATTGNGAAGCTCTGTGGGGATTCCCTATTTTCGCCAGTCCTGTCAACTTCTGTCATAGAGCACGACTATGGGTACTTGGCTTTAGGGCGTCGCCGGATGGTTCAACCTGCTGACAGACATTTCACATTGCATCTTAATTCTGATAAATGCTAATAGAGGCACTGTTAACGCTATAATATAAATAAGAATATAGTAATTGCTCGCCGGTTGAATTTTTTTCTCCATGTGAAGACATTTCTTATGCTATAAGTTGGGTAGGTATTATGACAATAACTTTGAATATTACGTGACCAATCGCTCAATTTGCCGCCCCCTGGATGTGCTGCCTGTGTGCAGTGCATGCCCGCTTACGGTGGGCCTAGTTCTAGCCATACAGAATCTGCCACAGAAATGTGGCTATTTTTAGAACCTTAGAACTCTACTCGTAGACTTGTAGTTGTCTCCTTACTGTATCTGCATGTGCCAATTAATGTTGATTGGTTTTTGTCAAAAATCAGACAACATTATGCTGCTCTTGAATTATGTACTACTGGAGAAGCACCACCATTTTATCAGTCCTTTGTCTTATGTCTCGCACATCAACACATTGCCAGTTGCATTTACTGTTGCTTTTGACTATTTCACTACTTTTAATAATTAATTGATGTTTACCATTATCTAGCATTTTAATGGCTACCCTAAGTACATAATAAAACAAAATTAATTTTTATATTTAAAATGATAATTAATTGAAATATTCAAATATTTAACTTCTTTTTACAATGTGTATATTGTACTTTTAAAAATACATTATACATTAATAAATACAAACTACATTATCAAATTTTAATATTAATGTCGAATAGAATAAAATTAATGAGCAGTTATATTTAAATGAGAGTAAATAACTTTAGAACAGGGATTCTCAAATACAGCCACCAGGTCAGTTCAATGTGATTCTCCAATCTAAGATAGTTGGTTGATTTTTTAACTTTACACTCACTGAATATCATCCTGATATTAGCCATTTTACATAGTTTTTGAATTAATACCATTTTTGATAATAAAATCCTAAATGTAAAAGGATCTTGATTCTTTTTCAATAGATTCTTATTAATGGTATGATATTTGAATTGATTACTTTTAAAATCTTAAGATTTAATGAGATTTAATTAAGATCAAATGCAGAAAATACAGATATGGCCACAGAAAATGTTTTCTAAGAATTCCAGATCCAAAATTTTCCAATGTATTTAGAAAATCTAGCATCTTTAGAAAATTTATATTTCAAAATCTCTGAGTGAACTTTTTAAACTGTTTTTTTCTTTAATTGTTATCAATAGATAAACAATAGTATTGTATTTGACTTTTTAAAAATAATTATCATTCAATCCCTTCATAAAAATTAAATATTTCATACAACAATTTTAAGAAATATTTGGGTTTCAGTATTAAAAACATGATAAATTATAACTGTCAACAGTTAAAAATTATTTATCTTTCTAGCTAAATTAGAGTTTAATGTCTGATGTAAACTTGGTCAATAAACTTTTTAATTATTATTCTTATATGCTAATATTTAAATATTTTTAAAAATTATAATATAATGATCCTCTTGTGAGAGTCTCAATAAGTCAAAGTAGCCTAGCCATCAACATCCATTGGCACATGCAGGTAGAGTAAGAAGACAACTACAAGTATATGAGTAGAGTTCTAAAAACAGCCACAGTTCTGTGAAAGATTCTCCGTGGCATTTACTGTGGTTCTAGCCAGGCGCCGCTAGCTGTTTGAATGCCTATGTGCAATACTGATTATGCCGTCCCCTGTTTAACTATGACTACCTACACTGAGCTTGCCAGAAAGGCTCTTTAGTGTTGTCTCATAAGGGTGTGAAAAAAGAAAAGAAATACTTTACAAAGAAAAACTATTTATTATTACTAAGTTATTTTTGTTTACTTAAGTGTAAAACCATATAAATATTTATCTACAGAAATTGAACTCTTCTTGCCTTTATGTTTGCGAAATCTGCTATCACTTTTCTTATATCCAAGATATCTAAGATTTCATGTTCAATTAAAACTATAGCTAAATTACTTAGTCTTTGCTGGTGCATTGTTGATCTTAAAAAGTTTTTTTATAATTTCTAACTTTGAAAAAGACCTTTCACCAAATGCAACTGAAACCAGCAATGTAAGTAATATTCTTAGTGCTATTGCTGTGTTGGGAAATGTTGAAATTAAGTCATTAGTAAAAAGATATTGTAATAGGGTTTGTGGATCATTAGACTAGTTTTCTTAAAAATGCAACTTTAAAGTATTGATTTCATTAAACAAATCAATACCGCAAATGTCTGTTTCACTACTTGAATCGTCTTTAAGCTTCAGATTTAAATCCTAACCAAGTTAAAATATCATTAATTATACTTAGACCCATGTCAGAAGAATTATTAACAAAATAATTGCAATTTGATATGTGATAGAACTGTTCAAATGCGTACAGTACAGATTGAGATGGAAGCTCTGTGGGGATTCCCTATTTTCACCAGTCCTGTCAACTTCTGTCATAGAGCACGACTATGGGTACTTGGCTTTAGGGCGTCGCCGGATGGTTCAACCTGCTGACAGACATTTCACATTGCATCTTAATTCTGATAAATGCTAATAGAGGCACTGTTAACGCTATAATATAAATAAGAATATAGTAATTGCTCGCCGGTTGGATTTTTTTCTCCATGTGAAGACATTTCTTATGCTATAAGTTGGGTAGGTATTATGAAATAACTTTGAATATTACGTGACCAATCGCTCAATTAGCCGCCCCCTGGATGTGCTGCCTGTGTGCAGTGCATGCCCGCTTACGGTGGGCCTAGTTCTAGCCATACAGAATCTGCCACAGAAATGTGGCTATTTTTAGAACCTTAGAACTCTACTCGTAGACTTGTAGTTGTCTCCTTACTGTATCTGCATGTGCCAATTAATGTTGATTGGTTTTTGTCAAAAATCAGACAACATTATGCTGCTCTTGAATTATGTACTACTGGAGAAGCACCACCATTTTATCAGTCCTTTGTCTTATGTCTCACACATCAACACATTGCCAGTTGCATTTACTGTTGCTTTTGACTTGGAAGTTTTGTGAGTCAAAATCACTACACTATTGCTCATTCTCCTGACTTTTAATGGCACTTTTCCAGTTTGGTGTACAAGGTGTGTTCAATATAAATTTAATTTTTAATTGAAATTGTGAACTCATGGCTATGGACCAATAATTGTTCCCATAGGCAAGAGATGTATGGTTTGTCGGATTATGTGGTCTTATTTTTGTTCTAGCAATTTTCTACAGGCTATATGCATGAAATATGGTATGCTATTTTAATAATAACAATGAAACTATTGTAAAAATTAAACAGGTTTCTAACTTATTTTATATTCCAAATCAAGAAATTTTATTATTGTTAACAATGAAAATGTGTTAATTTTTTTTTTGTTTAAAATACATGTAGTAGAAATAGTAATAATAGTAATAATAATAATAATAAGTACACAGTACTCGCCCAGGAAATAAGGCATCTGTGGAGGATGGATAGGGTGCTTATTGTACCTGTTATTCTCTCCTGTACAGGTGTGATACCACACACACTACACAAAAGCCTGGGAACATTACAATTGAGTAGAAATACATACATCACACTACAGAAGGCCACTATATTGAATACATGCCACATTGTTAGGAAATTCCTGAATACAGACACACACACTGGCACACTTCTTTAATTTTAGTTTTGTTTTGGTTGCTATGCCTTGACTTTGATCCGGCATAGTGCACAGCCACCGGTGTGAACCAAGTATAACTCACAAAACCCAACATAATAATAATAATAATAATGTAAAAATAAATTTTTTACCTATCAGATGCTTTTATTGGTTCTCCATTTTTAAACCATTGCAAAGGTGCTTTTCTATCCATTAGTTCTACTTCTAATACAAGTTCTTCTCTTTCTAATACATTTGTATCTTTTAATTTCTTCATGAGTTTATTAGCAGCTAAAAAATTAAAATTTAAGTTTAAAATGTTTCAAATTAATAATTTTATAATAAGTTATGATCTTCTAATTACTCACGTTCTACAATTAGTTCTGCAGTTGTAGTGTCTGCATTAGTTTTGCATGGCAATTCTACTATATCTGTCCAATTAGTTGACATAATTTCTAATCTTATTTTGCGGCCTTCTGATATTATATTAATTCGTAATAATTTTTAAAATAGTAATTAATTCTCAAATAATTTTTTTCTCCTCAGGTTTTTGTTGCGAAAACAAAGTATGCAAAACTACAGAAGAAAAAGTTTTAATAGAAATGGATATATATTCAACACGATAGTTGTTTGTATTTAATTACTGTTGAAAATGGACATATTATTCTTGTTGGATTGTGTTTCTCCTTGTGTATCATATTGAATATTTTATGAATGCAAAAGTGATAGTGACAACAGAACTTTCAGAATTATCTGGAAGAAATGAATATAACACAGATAAGCATCATTCACATTGTCGTGACATTCTGTCGGCACATGTATCTGGACGCATTACAAATACCAACATGAATGATATGCCATCTGAAAGTTATCAGAAATCATTAGTGCTAGAAAACTGGACATCCAATATTGATGTAGAATGTCCTAGCACTGAAACTCAGTCTTGCAGAAGCGATGGCACATGTTCTGAAAATAGTTTGCATTTTCTTCGTTTATCTTCTGATTCTGAAGATTCAGTAATAAATGACGATAACACATGTGATATTTTTGATAATGAATGTAGTCGTGATACAATTATGTGCATAGATAAAATTGATTCTAACAAAAACGAAAATTTATACGACAAACTAACAATAAAAAGTGTTGAAGAGAGCTCGGAAGAAAATGAAACCACTTCTTCGTTAACTGATGTAAATAATTGGCAGGAGTTGTTTCAAATAAATCATGAAGATCAACATATATCAAGTAACTGTTCAATGCCAATGAAAGATACTTTAAACAGAGCAACTGTGGTGAAATTAACTCCTCTTAAAGATAATAATGTAAATAATTTTAAACTAGAAGAAAATTATGATAATCACATTCAGAATTTTCCAGAAAATTATAAGTATGAAATCAAGGAAGAATCTTATTTATCGCCAAAATTCAGTTGTGAGAAACTTGTGCAAGAAAATAAAACAAGAGTTTCAAATTATAAGTCACATTATTGTCTAAGAAAAAAGGAAAGTAATATTAAAAATATTGTCAAAAGAAAATATTTTATCAAAAGAAAAAAATCGTTTTATTCAAGCCATCACAAATTTCCATTTAAACATAAAAACAAAAGAAAGAGAAGGAAGGGAATTCAACAAAGATGTAAGCATGAAAAAGATTCTGAAGACCATAATTATTCTTGCACAAAAGCATTTGAATTGAATCTAATACAGTCTACATCATCATCATTTGAAGAAACTTGTAGTAAAATATTTGAAAATCTTTCTGAAAACAAATCACTAATGCAAAACTGTGATGTTAAATTATCAGAAAATTCATTAACTAAAAAAACAAAAAATGAAACTGAAGATAAGGCTAGTTTTAAACTTATTTTGGATAGCAGTGAGACATCACCTAAATCACTTGGAGAAAGACAAATGCCAATTTTAATTACTTATGATGACGACAACATTGAAGAATGTTCTCCTAGTTCTCCCCAAATGCCTACTTTAATTCCATTTACATCTGAAAACGAACATCCGCTTGTAGTATTCAATGATGATTACACATCTAATTATCAGTGTAAGCAACATTTACCCAATGAAAATTCATTTTATAATGTTACCGTANTCATTTTCCTTATTTTTATTTTAAAGAATATTAATATGCAATAAATCAATATAATGATATCAATATAATACGCATGCAATATAATGATGTATCAATATATTGAAACCAATTTTACCATAGGCTAATTGATATAAACAAGAATTAAGTTTATATGTCATATTTCTGGTTACAAAACCATCACCAAACTTCTAAAGACCCAAAACACTTCTAATATTAAACATTGAAATATATATGAACTATACATGTATTTAAGAAAGATTAATAAAAACAAGTAAGATAATTATTTACTCAATTTTTGGTGAATCAGTAAGTGATGGTAAGTGATATGAGGGGAGGTGCTTAATTCTCATCACTGATGATGAGTAAAGATGAGTAATAAAGCATAAATGTTTGCAAAGCAAAATTTCCACAGCTCAAAAACATACAATTGGTAATTCCAACAAACTAAATGCTGAATAAATTTAAAATGGCAAATGCAAGCAGGGCACTTTGTTTACAATTTATGTTGACATTACATGTCTTGTGTTGTTAATTCAGATATAAATTCTCATTATTTTAAAAAAGTTGAAAGCATAATGGATGCAAATTATATTAATCAGATTTCCAGAAAATAATTCTGTTAATATACTAGTGTCCAAAATAATGTAACAAACACAAATTTTAGGATCTCTTGAAAATTATTTGGAGAATTTGGACAAAATTCAGTTCACAGATTCTTCATGCCATGAAGGTTTAGTTGTACAAAAATGAAAACAAAAAACTTCCAGAGTTAAATTCCAGAGAATAATTCAGACAAATTGTTAATTTAGGAAATCAAAAGTGACTTTTTATTAGTGAAATGTTTTCAACTCCATATGAGTCATCTTCAGCCCAAAAATCTTTACAGTATATAACATGATATAGAATAACATTTTTGAGTGGTGTGAAGTGTATCATGCTAGATATCCCAAGTCATTGGGAGGCAGTTTGCCTCTTTATAATTGATGCAGTGGCTGCATAATTGATTCAAAAATGTTCTTATTCTATATTGTGTTCTGTTATGTAACAATTTTTGGACTAAAGATGACTCATGTAGAGTTGAAAATGTTCCACTAATTAAAAAAGTTTTTGATTTCCTTAATTAACAGTTAGTGTGAATTATTCTACAGATACGGTGCCAAGTTTCTTGGAATATAATAACTTTGAAAGATCTGTACATTTTACTAAGAATATCTAACTGAGGTAGCAAATCCCACAGAGAAAAGAGGCTAATAGGAAATTTGACCATTCCTGATGGCCATGCAGCATCCACAATGAGCAGTCATGTTGTTTATGAGGTTCTGGAGAAAGCTTTTGGACAATAAACTCCAATTCTCCACAAGAGCAGATTTTAGCTCATGGCAGGTCCTGGGGAGGGGTTGACATGCTGCAATGGCCCTCCTTAGAGCACATGAATCAGTCATGTTTATAATCAATCATGTAATAGTGTCTGCCAATGAGACGACACAGTGTTGTCTCATTGACAGACTCTATTAGAAAGAGGCTCAAAAAGCAGCATGATAAAAAGATCAAATAGCTTTTGTTTTTCCAACTCTACATACCATAACATTGTCATCCATAAAAATGAATTAGGGCTGATGGCTCCCTGACAAAGTCTCATATATGGCTTAAGGATCTCATCTCTACAGCACTGAAAGATAAAAGTTCCTCCTTCAAGGTGTGAAAAGACATGAGGTCATCTAACATGATGTCTTCCCACACTAAGACACCATCTCTACCATAGCAGTTATTCTACCTGATGTTTGAAAGTGATGGCATGTCCCACATTCTCTCTGGAGGTTAGTGAATTGATAATCAGTTTGCAAACTGTATCTTGACTCATCAGAGAACATAACAAAGGCTCACTGATCTTGTGTCTAGAGATTATGCTCACAGAACCAGGAAAGATGGGATCTTCTGTGAGAAGGAATAAGGGAGGATAAACCACTGGTTATCTAGTATAAAGTTTCTTCTCTGCTAACTGTCTACTCTACTACAATACTGATAGTGGCAGCAATGAGCTTACAAGAGAGCTGCCTGACTATCATCTCTTTGTGGTTCAAGACAGTTAAAACCAGTTGGTGGTCTTGTTGATCTTGATCAACTGTAGTCTGCTCTTCTGGGAATGGTTCCTGTTTCTTGGAATTGTTTCCATAGTATGCACATCACTTTTCTAGACAACACCTGTAGCCATCTGTCCATCTCAAATCTACCAATTGCTTTCCATCACAATGCATAATGTAAATAATAGATTGTAATTTTATAAAAATTTAATTTATCTGACCACAATCTTTATTCAAAAACAGTCAAATCACAAGATCACAGAACTTCCCTCCTTTCCCTTTGATTTGTAATTAGCATGCTTCCTCTGTTGTCACTTTAATTGATATGATAATTCAATTCATCATACCAAGTTGTATATATTACTTTGAATTTTTATTGGTAGCTGTTTAGATTTATTGTGCTAACTATGTTTGCTACTTCAATTTTGGACATCAGTATATTATTCTTTACTGGATTATGTTTGTAGCCTCCAACATGTAATTCTCACCTAATAGAATCAATATTTATAAAGAAAATTCAACATTAATAATTGTAAATGATTATAAATGTACTTGTATTTTTTCTCATCAATGCTATAATAAAACAATGTTAAATGAAATGTTAAGTGCGGACTTATACAAACATTATTTTCATAGTAACAGTTTAAAAATCTTCATATTTCCAATATCTGAAGAGAACATTCAAAACACATTTTGTTATAGAGAAAAACAAGAAGATATATCAAATGTAACAATAAATACTATATATACTATGATAACTTGCTATGGTAATATATATTTGAAATCATAATTCATAAAATAGATTACAACTTTAAATTTAATTACTGTATTTTTTCTTTTCCTTTCAATGAAATGAAAAAAGTGAATTTCAGAAATTATTGATATATGTCACAAACTAATTCTCTTATTGTTCTAGTTTTAACTCTATGTTTAAAATCATTAAAAATTCATACCTGATATAAATAATTTTGTAGTAGTTACTTCATCAGCATTTATTTTACATGAATAATCACCAGAATCTTCAATTACACAGTCTAAAATTTTAAGTGTTTTACGACCCAGCTGATCTGATTCTATAATGTACCTATCACTGGACTAAAAAATTTTCAATTTTTAAAAAAATAATCATTTACAAAATAAATAAATTTAGATCTAAAAGAAATTTATGGTACCTCAATTTTCTGATCTCCTTTATACCATTTAACAGGTGCTTTATGACTATTTACAGAGCATTCTAAAACTGCTTCTTTTGTAGTATATTCATGTAATTTAGAAGGCAATTTTTTAACAAATTTATACACTGGATCAGGTTCTGAAAAAAAATAATTTTAAAAATTTTCATTTAATATTCAATTTTTGATATTTTATTCATTCTGTAAGTCAAAATCACACACACATGTGAAAGATATTAGTTATAAGACAAAACTAATTTACACAATCTCTTATTGTAACTCAGTTATTATCAAGGAGAATATATCTGATGTGTTTACCTTATTTTTCATATATCATAGTTAAATTTTATAGTTTATTTAGTGTAGATGATGATAATATTATTATAAAATTAATAAATATTTTCTATCAGTAAAGAATTATAATTACCTTCAACATCAAGAACAGCAGAACATTGAGTATCTAAACACTGTATTGTGTATCTTCCAGAATCATCAACCATAGGATTATTAATTTCAAGAACATGTAGATCACCTTCAGATTTCATGTGATATTTCTTTCCCAAAAATAATTCTTGTTTATTCTTAAACCATTTTCCTTTAACACCACTTCTTGAATATACAGCTTCAAATCGTGCTTTTTTATCTTTTCCTTCCTTAGCAGTAATATTTTGAAGAGGTTGAAGAAACATATCTGGCTTCTGTAAAGTTCAGGAAAATTATACTAAGATTTACTGATGATAAGAAAATTTAAAATATCTTTAAATGGTACAAGAAGAAATGCTGAAAAGAAAAGATAGTTTTAAATACAAACAATCACAAAAACATCCATACAAATTTATCCAAATTAATATATTTCAATTTAAAGTAATCTAAGTTGATCAACTTTAATCAAACACATCCATAATGCAAAAGAACAGAATAGTCAAAGGATAGTATCCTGAAAACAAGCAAAATAGATGAAAAGAGCTGAAAACAAGGAATTGCAAGATAGAGATTTGAAAAATGAAAATATATATGCTTTTTAATCTTCTAGTTAGTGAAAAATAAAATAAATGACTCAAGAAGTGTAATAATTTTATATCCTGAATTTATCAATTGATATCTTCTGCAACAATATTGTTAGTATTAATGAAAATGCAGTAGACATTTAATAATATATGTTATAAAAAATATCTATTTATACTTATAATCTTTTTTCATTATTTTAAAAATAATATTTTTAAAGTATATCATATTATTACAGCAAAGAATTTTATTTTTACTTTAGTATGATTAAATATTTAATTTAATGTTTTAATGATAATATAATTATGTATACATTATTTTGTATATCAATTTCTTCTTGAATCATTTTCTATATTATTTATAATGAGACAAGATTATCTGTATATAATGCACATTTTTGAAACATGCAAAAAAGATTACTTTGATATAAAATATTTTAAATTTTATATCAAAATAATGTTTTATAATGCATACTTTAACAATTTGTGTTAAAGTATGTAATAGAATATTTAGAATGAAACATTTTATCTCAAAATGTTTCATGTGATTATAATTAAAACATTAGATTCTCAGATTAAGAAATCTGATCTAAAAAATAGCAACAATAAATAAAAAGGAAACAAAATAGAGAACAGAAAAACATAAAACGATAGTTAAAGATAAAACTCATATATTTAAATATTAAATAAAAATAATAAGAAATGAGAAGAGAGTACTGAATAATAATTATAATATACAGGAAGAATCAAAATTTGTAACTATTCTAAATAACATTCTTAATACTTTTTGTTAGGAAATCACAACTCTGTTATTATTCATTTTCAAAGAAATAAACCCAAATTAGAAAGCCTGTAACTTTTGTATTGGAAAACATTTTTGAACCTTAACTGATTCATTTTCAGCTTAAATTTAAATTTAATACTTTTTAACAATTTCACATCTTTTTACTTCTTTAATTATAATTATATTTACTTATTTGACAAATTATATGTAATAATATGTAAATTACAAATTATGACAAATTATAATAATATAATTGAACTGTTCCTTTTTTTTAAGTTGCCAAATCCTCAACTTTTCAAAAATTATTCAAATTGCTATATAAGCTATCATTTGATTATGATGCATAACTTAACTGATTTGGAACTGAACACAGAAACCACAATACAATCTTTGATAAGTCAGCTTAAGCTTATTACATTGAAACTACTAATGTTTTCAGCTATGTTCGATGGCCATCATCAGGCTGTTTAACTTGATTAGACACATTTTAAAAACATAACAAAAAAAGAAACATTAATTGCAAAATGAACTTAAATTTAAATGAAACCATTTGTCTGTATCATTTAATTAACCTAATTAACATATAAACAAATAGAATAAATGTGACATAAATATAAAACATTGGTGAACTGTGGCGATATGCCATATTTTGTATATATGTTTTAGTGTTAAGCATAATATTAAGTTCCTTAGTCTTTTGTTCTGTATCTTTCTTCTCAAACTTTCTAACGGTATTTCCTTCCTGCAGGTGGGGACGCAGTTCAGAGAACTACACCGAGAAAACAATAGAGAGAGAAAAGCCCTGAGGCGAGTTAGGGAAGTAGGTGGGCATTCTTGGTGGAGCATTCGTAGTGGACAGACATAGAAATAGCAAGGTCCGAAACATTGTCTAGTGGGATGAAAGGAAGACAGGAATTGTCGGCAGTAATAGGAAAAAACCATAACCTCAACATAGTAATTGAGAATTAAGTGAATGATTTTGGAGATATAAACTTTAAAACAAAGAATAGTAGTGGAAAATGAACTGAGAGTGATACCTCCATCTGAGAGATCAAAGATTTTCATGAAAAAACCCCTGGTACCATAAATACTTTCATCATCACCTTCCTAACACCTATTTTATATCTTTCTTCTTCTTCTTTTTAGTATATAAGTTAGTTTTAAGTTTAGTTATAAAGATTCGGGAAAGTCCGACTGTAACACTTATTGTCATGAAGTGTGCACCCTTTTGTTTGTTAACACTCCTGTTCATTGTAACTTCATATACAAACCTGTATGTTACAGTTGGGATCCAAGTTAGAATCCTGTGTAAAGAAAACCACCACGCAGATCGAATAATAAATTTTGTTTATTATTATTGTACTTACTCTCACTGTTCATTGTACTATCACATGGATATACTACAGAACAATATTAAATATACACATCTCTTGCAGTCACAAGAGGTATTTCAAACAATGCTCTCCATGATTTGGCAAAAGTGTTCTGGTACTTATAATTAAATATAAAGAAATTGCTTTTTGCCATTGGTATAATTAAATTAATTAAAAATCTACTAATGTGAGGTAGATAATAAGGACTTATCACATCAGTGATAATAAGCACAAACACCCAGGTATCAATGGAGTACATTTAATAAAAACAACAAGAGGTGTACATAAAATTGATTACATTAGTAATTAACATGAAATAACCAAAATGCTTTTTGGACTATCGGAATAGTCCCTCTTCAGTTGGTGTACATATAAAAAGGTTATAATACTTAAAATTATACAAGACAAAGGAACCGTTATAAAGGTATGATCATTGAATAATAAATGGGTGTAGAGAAGACAGGCTTAAGGCGGCTTCATAATGTTACACGGTAGCTTGACGTAAGGGTTACTATTATAAACAGTATTAAAATTAGCGGAATAATAGGGTAATTGTTTTACAAAATAAAATTACATCTACATACCATAACAGTAGTAAGATGGAGTTTGAAGGTGGCATTACTACAAGATGCAGAGCAGTTATGAGGGAGGTGTGGTACAGGCAACATCTGGAGAACAAGTGGTGACTAATATCTTAACGGCCAACCTTCATTCCGTCACCTTTTTAAACCTGATGTCAGTATTAAATCTATAGATTTCATCATTTAATAGATGAGGGTTTGTGCTCAAATATCAACTGGGATCTAGGCAAATTATCCTATGAATTAAATTAATATAAATAAATTGCTTTTTGCCCTTGGTAAAAAAGGTGATGGAATGAAGGTTGACCATTAGGATGTTAGTCACCACTTGTTCTCCAGATGTTGCCTGTACCACACCTCCCTCATAACTGCTCTGCATCTTGTAGTAATGCCACCTTCAAACTCCATCTTACTACTGTTATGGTATGTAGATGTAATTTTATTTTGTAAAACAATTACTCTATTATTCCGCTAATTTTAATACTGTTTATAATAGTAACCCTTACGTCAAGCTACCGTGTAACATTATGAAGTCTTCTCTACACCCATTTATTATTCAATGATCATATCTTTATAACGGTTCCTTTGTCTTGTATAATTTTAAGTATTATAACCTTTTTATATGTACACCAACTGAAGAGGGACTATTCCAATATTCCAAAAAGCATTTTGGTTATTTCATGTTAATTACTAATGTAATCGATTTTATGTTCTCTTCTTGTTTTTATTAAATGTACTCCATTGATACCTGGGTGTTTGTGCTTATTATCACTGGTGTGATAAGTCCTTATTAGTGTGAGATCTGAATAGTCCTGAGTCTACAATTAATAATTATTTTATGATGTTAAATATTATCATAAAATATTATTTCGTTTTGGTTAGAAATTAACGATTTTCCAACGTGGGAAAGATAGATAACAGATGCTACTTCCTTCTAGAGAAGTTAGAACATTCTCTGTTTTTCCCTTATCTGCAAAAAATATAGCTTTGATGGGAAATGTTCACCCCTCATTTATTCCCCTTTCATCCGTTCACATGAAAGAGTCTCTGTCTGATGATTGGTCGAAAATCAGCAGATATAGCGGAAATTTATCAGAATTCGGAGAGTTCATTGACAGACATAGAAGAGTCAGGACTCCATTCATATTGCTCCTAAAGGCCAACGCCTATGCTATGAGCCATACAATATACAAGGATTAAGTCTAAAGATATAAATGTATCAAGTTAAGTTGATCTCTCCAGAGGAAAGAAGACAGAGAATTCTAGAAGTGAAACAAATACTTCATATACAGAGCCGAAGTTTAAAGACAACGATCAGGTTGTATGTTCTTAAATGATTTTGTGAGCTCTCTCTCTCGACCTTATATCGGTTATAGTATAAGTCCGTATCTCTCTCGACTTATAGATTGAAATTCGCATTTACTATCTCTCATTTATATAATAGTTTGTATTAGTTTTAATTGTTTATGGTTTATTAAATTTATTCTTATTTATTTTATAAAGAAATGTCTCTCAATTATTATCGGAATAGGATTTCCCCACGCGTGTTTATCCGCGTGTAAAACAACTGATAAACTGGTGTCGGAATCCTGACGTAGATCCGAATCTCGCGATTAGGATCGTTTATAAAAGCCCTCCTATAAAAAGTTACGAGAGCCGATCTCACGATCGAGCGCCCGTAAGTGGCGTAACTTTGTTTACGTCCTGGCTGATCTCACATTATCTACCTCACATTAGTAGATTTTTAATTAATTTACTTATAATTAATAGTGTTATTTTGTAACAAAAGATTTATAGAATTCTAGTAACTCCATGTGTTTGAGAGTACCTTTAAATCTTAATGGTCTAATAATCTCTGCCTCTTCCCATCATGCACTGACTGAATTATCCAAGGCAAAGGTAGTCAATGCAATGGAGAATAGACCTTTCCTGATCATATATTGGTATTCTTTAAGT